TTGCTTGACCTATGATCAATTTTTAAATTTTGTGATATATTTGGTTCAACAGAAAAAAAATTATAACCCTTTGACATTGGTTGTTTTTACTTAGATTTTCATAAAAAATAAACGGAACTGCAAACATGTTTTACTATCGTAATAACGAATAGCAACATTAAATTTTTTTTTTACATTTATCACTGTTGTCATTTTTATAAAGGATTGATAAGAAGGCACACTTTCTGGTTTTTTGAAAAAGGTAGCAAGAATTGTGATATTTTTAAATTTATCACCAGTGATACCACATGTAGTTACCCGATTTATTGGAATATATAGACTTTGCTACCACATTCAACTGAACTTGGTTGTTTTTAATATTTATCACTGTGACATAAGCGTTTTTGTCAAAATGTTTCATTTTAAACTGCTGTAAATAGGTGCCTTTGTTTTGGTAGTTTTAGTCCCAAAAAAATTTATGCATATACAAGTACTCATTCCTCTTTGATTTGTTCGAAAAGTTAAAATTTTATAAAAAATTACATTGGCTGTTTAAAAACTCATTATAATCCCTGAAATGTGATAATTAGGTAAATTAAATTAAAAAAACAAACAAACAAAATTTATTAAATTAATATTTACTCTTACAAAATAGGTTCTTGTAAGTTAACAAACAATTATGCAGATATTACTAAGTAAATGTACTTGCTTAAAATTCACACACAAATGTGGTTTTAACTTGTTAAATTAACTAACCCTTCTTATAACTCTTTCCACATGTATTCTTAGAGATGCTATTCATTTACTTAATTGTACATCTTCTGGAGAACTTTTTTCATTCTGTGATACACTAGGTGTGGCTTTACTAAAGTGCATCCCATGTTTTCAAGTAGCTAAATATTCTGAAACCCATATCTGCCATTATATGGGATCCAGGAACCAGTTTGTTTAAATACCCACATTTTTCTATTATTTCTTTATCACTAGTTTTTCCACAAAATGATGAATAAATTCGGTATCTTCAAAACTTTCAGGAGATTCTGCATTTTCTTCCAGAAGGGTTTTTAGGTTATACACCTAGTAGCCTCATTTTCAATTTCCTGAAGGGGACAATTAGCAGAAATTGCTGCTATTCTACATCTTGATAATCCGGTGTATTTTTATTAAAAAGTTTACGAGAAACATCGCTAGTAGAAGGTTGATTTTCTTCTTTCCAAATTTCTAGGAACACTAATAAATATTTTTGAAGATGAATGTGAATCATTATCACATTCTGGAACAAAACACTTTTTCGTAGTCATAATATTTATTTATAAAAAGTACAAAATAAACACTCAAATTCCAAATAAATTATTGATGGAGACACTATGACAGATGACATACAGTGCTGCCGTTTTGCCATTTTCTGAATTATTAAGTGACTTTTAAAACAATAAAACTTTAAATATAGTAAAAGTTTAAACAGAAACAATACTTTCAAAAAACATTTGATATTATATATTTAAAAGATATTTGTTTAACGATGTTTTAGAAGTCTAAAAGTAATAAGGAGTACACAAACGAACGTACATCACTTCTCGTAAACCTTCTAGCCGGCAACGTCGTGCGCTAGCTCCTATTGGTCTATTCCCGGTGACGTCATTAATTTTAAAAAAATTCATAACTCCGGCAAATGAATAGATAAAAAAAAAATTAAAAAAATGTAGTTTTATTTTTAACTCTACTATTCATAAAAAAAATTTCAAAATTTTTGAACATGCCCCATTTCAGATCAAAAATATTATTAATTGTGTTTGGAAGTATCGAAAGAAAAATATTTTTATTGGTTAAAGACCGAAAGTTCTTTGTCTTTTGAATTTTCATGTAGCTGTTTACCTAATGCTTTGGGGTCATTGTGTGTAATGTTCAGACACGCATAACAATTTACATATTGCAGTCCATACATTTATACATGGTGTAACAATAAAAACTCCCAGGCCGGATATTTGGTTAAGTAATAGAGATATTTTAATTCTGTAAAAGCCAGTTCATAGAGCGCTAAGAGAATTTCAGTTTTAAATATTAATGTTAAATAGGTCAATATATAGATGGCGCTACGCTCAATATATTTTTTTCGATGGGAGGATCTTTCTTATATAGCACATCTTGTAAAAATGCATTTTTAAGCAGATTTTGTTGTATGAACTAATTCGATAGTTATTTTTGATATATAGAGTGGGTCACTCAAAACAGTTTCATCCTGTTTTTCGGCATTATACATTAGATTTTAAGAAAATGCTAAAACAGGTCTAGTTTTATTCCATATTAAACACATTATTACAATACAGACATCTGTCATGTGTCAACCCCCTCCCTTCCACTTCTCTAACCACTTAATTTTAAATAAGGAATGTACCATGTACGGCACATCATTAAAAAGGTAATTTTGTGGGAAAGTCATAACTATTACTGTTTATTGCGATACTTCTAATTTTAGCGCCCTCTATCGGGATAAAAAAACCTGTAACGTATTATAAAGTGTGACACTTTATTTGAAAGCTAATTTAATTACTAATTCAATGCACCACATATCATTAATATAAATATTTCTATATTGCCCTCGCAACAAAATAAAGTTAGCAATAATAATGTTTAAAATAATGCATGACTAATTTTCAAACTATTGAAAGTGCAATATGTCACTGTCACACTTTATAATACGTAGTTTTTTTTTCCCGATAGAGGGCGGTACAATTAAAAGTGTCGCAATGAACAATCATATTTATAAATTCCCCATAAAATTATCTTTTTAATGATGTACTACACATTGTAGTGTCACACACTCTCTAATACGTAATAGTTTTTTTTTTCGCTAGAGGGCGATACAATTAAAGTAACGCAATGTACAGAAATATTTCTGAATTCCCCATTAAATTACCTTTTTAATGATGTGCCATACATGGACATTGCCTATTTAAAATTAAGGTGTTGGTGAAGTGCAAGGGCGGGGGTTGACACATGACAGATGTCTGTACTGTAAAAATGTTTTTAATTTAAATAATAATCGAGCTGTTTTAGCATTACATTAAAATCCAATGAATAATGCTGAAAAACAGGATGAAACTGTTTTGAGTGACCCACTCTGTATAGCAAAAATGGCTAGATTTATCGAATTAGTTCATGGAACAAAATCTGCTTAAAAATGCACTTTTTACAAGATGCGCTAAATAAGAAACATTCTCCCATCGAAAAAAAATTATTGAGCGTAGCGCCATCTATATATTGACCTATTCAAAATTAATTTATATTTAAAACTAAAGCTCTCTTAGTGCTCTGCGAATTGGCTTTTGCAGAATTAAAATATCTCTATTAGTTACCAAAATATCCGGCCTGGGAGTTTTTATTGGTACACCCTGTATACACACTGACATTAAATTATTTATCAAGTACTGAAATAAGCTATTCTTATTTGTCTTTTTTCATAATTCAAAATGAAAGGCAGGGACATGCTTCTGCCTGTCTTTGATGTTATATAGATTCCATCACTTTTTAACACATTTTAAAAACATGATAAATACCATAAGTTTCATGGAAAAAAACAAGAATAACCGAAGACTGGTGGAGATACTCGTATATTTGAAAATATTATTTCTGTCTTCTTTACTTTTGAATCCTTCTAACAGCTCACCCTGTAGAGCTGCAAACTTGGGGTTAATAAGAAAGTTGCCTTTAAAGGCCTAAAAAATAACATACTAAAATTTGAACAAATTCTGATAGTACCCAAAATTAATGTAAAAAGTGCGGGGTCCTTTGTTTGTGTTTTTAAGAACTTAAATAAATTTAAGCAAAATATAGATTTCGTAATTTTGGAACTAGTTAATATTACATTGAACTAAAAGCTCTCTAAAATGTATAGGACTTATTTTATACAATAAACTTCAGAACTTCATAAAAAATTGTAATACGTATATTTTATTTATAGTAGGGGAGCTCAGAGGGCTAAATGCGTTTTTACCTGAGCGCTTTGAAGACCTATCAGATCGTGAAGATTAACGGCTAAACAGAAAAAAAGTTTATATGATGTATATCTTTTTAGTGGTGGGGAGAGCGTGCACGAATTTTCAAAAATGTAAAAAAAAATCGTTCCAAAAAAATACTCAAGCGCGTCAGTGTTTGATACCGTGATACAGTCTACGAACTCCTGTTTACAGAGAGATATTAGTCTGACGGATTGATAGTGGGAGTTAGCTGTATTAAGAGGTAGAAATTAGGGAAAAATGATTTTTCTCGGGCTTGTCAGAAATTCATAAGAGGGGTTAAATAAACTATAAAAAGTATCCTATTATAAAGACTGACAGTTTGGGCGTGACCAAAAGTTTATAGTCGATACTCAAAAATGCAAAAAAAAATCGTGACATTGAAATACTCGTGCGCATCAGAATTTTATACAGATGGTTCAGCTTGATATTCTAGTGGTGATAACTCTTAATCTGATAATTTTGTAAAGGGATTTTTTTAATCTGACAGTAAAAAGTAAAAATTTTTAACTTCTCGAAAAAAAATTGGAAACTGGAAACTGTTTTTTCTGAATAACTTTCGAACGGCTTTACCGATCGATTCCAAAAACTATTCAGCTCTTACCCTTGCAAAACCACGTCGATCGCCACTAGTCCGATCAAAATCGGTTGATTCGATCATGGGATATCGTGAACGAACGAAATCGAAAAACGTGTTTCTTCAACTTTTGAGCTGTTACAAATGAGACATCCGTTTGAGGTCGAAGAACTGAAACTAGCACAAAAGTTCTATTTTTGAGCTCTTTGAGCTCAAAAACGATGTAGTAAGAAAAATATTAAGCACTTTTTGATTAAAATTAGCGGGAAGTTACAGGGATGGCCTGAATGGTGAACCGGTTTACTAATTTTTATTATTTATTCTTAATTTTTATTTTTTATTAATAATTTTTTATTGAAAGTAACAACACAAAACAAAGAAAATGTAAGTTATAAAAAAAATATATATATAAACAAATATTTCTACATTCAATCTTCTTCGTCTGTTGAATCGTCCTCATATTGGAAATTCAAATCCGATTCTTCATTTTTATCCATATCTTGCGTATCTGTAACAAAATAATTATCATCTTGATAATGTTTTATATATCATGTTACATTATCATAGCAATAAAAACATACCAGAATCCTGCTCCCTAAAATTTCAGGTGTAACGACAATATCTTCGTATGCTTCTGGTAGCTGAATTTCCAGTAAACCATATCATCTCCAACTTGCCATCAAAATTCTTCCAGCCGAAGTCGGTTGGTGACATCTCACTGATATTACGATAGTGAGCATTTCGCCATAAGCATGCGATATATTTAGTTCGTAATAAATGCTGCCGTAGCTCTGATTGGCATGGTGGTAGGTTACAAGCATCATAATTTCTGACGTTTAAGGAGAACGGTTGAGTTGTATCACTCACTTTGTATGTCTTGTTAAAAATTTCGATTCGGGCACGATTAACATCAGCTATTTTTTTTAAACCATATAAATGGCAAATAAATGATTCCATGGTCAAAAATGATTCCTCAATCGTGTACATTTCTGAACCTAAATTAGCAAAAGCTTTTATAAAGGTTTCAGAGCCCATCATTATATCCAACGGTTTTTTCCCTCGTCTATAGAAAGCAGGATTGAAATCACATCCTGTTAACGCATGTAGAGCTGGTAATGCTTGTGAAGTACTTATTTTGAACCAGTAAAAGTCATCGCTAATAACGCGACAATTATCGTTATTATTCTGGGATATATAAGTATTCTGTGGAGAAAGGAAGAGAGGCGCAGAGCGGGAAATACACAATCATCAGTAGTTGTACATACAACATTCTATTATTAATTTTAGGTGCTTAGGCTTATGAAAATCGGCAGAATATATTATTTCTATAATTTTTCAAGTATTTTCTTTAAAATGCAAAAAACCAAATTTGCGCTCGAGTATTTCAAGGTAACGATTTTTTTTTGCAATCTAGTGACTCGCTCAATTTTTGATGTCACGCTCAAATCGTCAGATTATTGAAGATATTTTCTTTTCTGCATTTAATTAACTTATTTTGTTTAAATCTGATGCGCTCGAGTTTTTTTGGGGATCAATTTTTTTTTACTAATCTGATCGACTACTCTAGGCATACCCCACTATATTAAGGGACCATCATTGGTAAAAGTACTTAACAGGGTACAAAGATTCTCCCCTAATATTAGGCTGCTACGCTCAGGTCACATCCGAAATCCCCTCTTGGGCTCCCCTACTATTAAGAATAAACTAAAAAAGTTTTTAAAACTATATAATACCTATTCTGTAAAGGATTTTTTGAATTTTTAATATTGTTTATAATTACTAGTATATTAATATTATTATTGTATTATTTTTGACGAATCATAATACATTGTAAAAAATTGTCTACATGATTATCCGCAGAGCACATTCTACTTTGGAAAAAAATAGGTTCCAGACCTTCAGATTCAGTTGATTAATGAGTAGGAACTATCAACGCATTTTGACGGAACTGAAATGACAGGACAATAAACTTCGTACTGTCGATTCTGCAACTTGGAAAACGAATTCGCAGAGAACATTCTTTGTACCTGTTCTGCTTTAGAAAGTTCCAGATCTTCAGATTCGCCTGACTGGAGCCCACCGACTGTAAACAAGTCATATCCAACTGCACCATGACTTTTCATCAAAATGTGTGGCATGTACGGTGAACTGTAAGTTAGACATAAACCAGAATTGATCCAACTAGGATGCAGTGCGACGAGATCGTCTCACTCATTTTCAACCTAACTGTAGGTTAGCTGAATTAACTAACTGATGAAAAATAAGTTGATATAGCAACCTTATTTTCTCCAAAATAGAACTTTTATGCTATTTGACATGACATTCCAAGAAAATTGACTGATTTCAGAAAATATGCAATATCCTGAATGAATTATTTTTAATGACTGGTTTCTATTGATAATAAATTTATCATTTTTTTCATTACCTTTCATTTGGCTTAAAATTAGATTTTTAAATACCAATTCGAAAATAATTCGATTTAAGTTTTGTCTACTCATACGGATTTTATACAAAGGAATACCCTGTTCTCAAATCTTTTTGATATTGTTGAAAAAAAAATAACTACCTGATGTTTAATTTTTACGATATTTTAGCAACCTTTTTTTTTTCTAGGTCTTTAGGTGAATTAAATGGAAAACCACAGTTTACCAGATCACATATCGCCTCTGGCAAAACAACTCTGTACGATATGGAAGTGGACACGGGACAAAAACATGTTCTTACTGCATGCCAGGATAGAAACGTTAGAATGTATAGTGTAAATACTGGAAAGCACACGAAAAAGTTTAAGGGAAGTACAGGAGATGATGGAACGCTTATTAAAGTAAGTGACCATCGTGAGCGGTATTGTCGCTTCTTTTTTTAATTTATCACTAATCAGATACAACCAAAAATACCCAAAGTCTTGGTCACAGTAAGTTTATTAATAAAGTTTTATAGTGCTCCTAGCTTTAATCTTGCAAGGTAATCATTAGGCATAGAAAGAAAGTGAGAGGAGGAAACTACAAAAAGGTTAAACAGACCAAAAGTTAACAAAATTATTGATAAACAATTTTAATTATATTATAAAAATTTACTTGTTAAGTCAACTGCACGTTTAGCTGGCCTCTACCTACATATAACACAAAGTTTTGTTTTTTGTTTCACACTTTCTACCCTTAATCTACTATTTGTAAACTTGTTGGCTTATGGACATCTTTCTAATTATTACCTACCTTCCCACCTTATTCTGAACCCCCTTGATTATTTATCATCTTCCAGTGATATATAAAATTTACCCACCTTCTGCTTATCGGACATACCTTGACCACTGACAAATTTTTGACATCCGACATTAGACACCTGACGTGTGAAACCTCTAACACTTTAAAGTTGTTTATCAATGATTTTATTAAATGTAGTTTTCCCTCCTCACTTGCTAGTTCTGTTTACTTATTTCTATGCCTGATGATGACCCTGCGAGGTCGAAAGTAGCAACACTTTAAAACTTTATCAATAAACTTACTATGACTATTTTTTGGTTGTATCTAATTCATCTTGTCACTTTATCACTAATCACTACAAACCTCAATTACATCTTAATCTCACTTTTTCATCTCTCGCAGGTCGTTCTGGACAGATCCGGCATCTACTTAGCAACGTCTTGCACCGATAAATCGCTCTCGGTGTACGACTACTACTCGGGAGAGTGCATGGCCACGATGTGCGGCCACTCCGAGTTGGCGACAGGACTGCGGTTCACTAACGACTGTCGCCGCCTCATTTCGGCCAGCGGGGACGGTTGCATATTCGTGTGGCGGGTACCGCACGACATGGTGGTGACGATGCATGCCAGATTGAGTCAACAAGCGATGCGGCAGGGCAAGCAACTCGAACAGGAGGTGTTCAGCGATAGTAGTACTTTCGATTTCTACGATGGGATTAATAATACTGTTGATACTAATTATAGGTAAGTACATTTAATAGATTTTTTTAGGTAATGTAAGTGTAGGTAACATACTTTTTTTTTATTATGTATTCATTACAATTATACCATAGTTCTAAATGATAATGTGCTGGTTCAAGAAAGGAGTGTTGCCAGTTCTTTTTCAGTCTTCTTACATTTTGGGGTTGTATAAGTGGATGGAGTATTTTGTATTTACTGTGTATGTTTCAAAATCTTAAACATATTTTTACGTTAATACCATCTATAAGAAATAGTTCAATAAAAAAAACATTTTATTGAATTGACACCCATTTACTTTGCTTCTCTCTAGGACATCCCATTCTTCTGTAATGTTTTGAATACGCTTTTGTTATAACTTTGTGTTCAAATTCTGCTTGTAGTTCTTGAAATACCCACACTCTCTTGGGATACGGGTATTGTTCTATATTTTTGTCTGTTCTTTTTACGCATCAAAAAATATAAATACCAAAAAACATCTGTTTATTTTCCAGGTTTAGCATAGGTCAGCTTCCACAATGGGCGAAAAAACAATTAACAGAGGATACTAGTCAACCTTCTAGTCTGAATAAAGGGGTGGCAGTGCCAAAGGGTAGATGGGCGCAAAGAGCCGAAAACGCAATGGGCGCCAAACCGTTCTACTCCAATCAACCTTATCCATTCCCGTCGCATGGTAAGAATCATATTTTATCCAAAAATGTATATTTATGTTCTGTCACACTTGAATTCTCTATTTTATATTCTTAAACGCGTAAAACATTCTTTAAACCTAGTTTTTATTGGTTTTTAGTTTGTCCTATGTAAATGTATTCAAATAGGAAGCAGAATCCTTAAAAATAGACCATCCTATATTGAATGTTATTAACAAGGGTAATATACCAAGACCTTGATAATAGTCGGCTATTTCTATTGAATCTAAATCTCGAAAATATTTTAATATCAATTTGATGAAACATAATTTTTGGCATTAATAATCTAATTAGAGCCCGAGAGCTTTAGCTCTAGGACTTTAATCAGTTGATTATTATTGCCAAAATTATGTATAATCAAATTGTAAAATGTTCGAGAAATTTAGCAACAACAAAAATAGCAGAATGTTAATCAAGGTCGTGTTATATTTGGAATGACTATTTCACTAGACCAAATATCGACTATTTCTCTAGAAAAATGGTCGCTGATATTTGGTCCAGGGAGATAGTCGGTGTTATAGCCTTAAAATCCTACTGGTTGATTATTGCACTCATCTGATTTTCAATCAAAATACAATTTTTATAGATAATTATTGATAAAGATAAATAAAACCGCAATTACTTTTAAGTAAAATGTATTTAAATATTTTTTAAAAAGTTTTGTTCACTTATTTTGAAGATAAAACATAATTCATCTCAAAGAGATATATATGTATATAAAGAACTAAACAATTTGAGTTGCCGTTTCTTACTTGGCTACAATCTCTTGTCATCCAGGTGTAAACATGTATAACTTCGTTCAATTTATATGTTTATAACGTATCTTAATAAATTATACAGTGTGTACCATAAAGTTTGATTCATATGGGATTTTTTAATATTACAATTAAAAACAAAAAACGTCGTAGGGCAGTCACCTCTGGTTATTTAAAAACTTAAAATAGCTCATATCAAAGTTGGCTACTGGTATTAGTTAACATCTGTCAAATGAAGTATCAAATTTTAATAAACATAACGGCTAAATTACTTCTTTTTAACATTTATTTGACAGAAAAATGCATTTGCTTTCGCATAATCTTATTTTTCGTAAAATAAAATGAAAACAGTATAAATAATAAAATTTAGACAATATAAATAATAAAATGTCATTTATGATACTTTTTACTTTAAAATATCTTTATTTACATGTTTGACTGTATACAATTCATTAAATGAGGTATAAACAGCAAGAATATATTTCACACTCGCGATGTAACGAATCGAAGCATTTTCGCATGCCCAGCTGCATGGACGAAACGTCCTAGCCCGAAATACCGTCAATCCAATTTAAAATAAGTGAATTTTATGTGCCATCTCCTTATCGGTCGATATTATATGGCAAATGTTGGTGAGTTTGGGATCGAAAATTGAGTTTTGTGATAGTTTTTGTGGGATTTTACTTGTGATTGTCTTCCTTGGGAAAAACTTTGAAAAACCAGGGTTGTCCTTGTATGTATGTGTGTCATTTGGTATAGTCTATGTCTGCGTGTAACTATTTTATTCAGCTGGACGATGAAATCCATCTCCAGCGAGGGTATCGTGGCAGGCCTCGATTTCCTCACTGGGGAGTGACGTCATCGTGCAGTCTTCCGCCGGACTAGCATGTTTAAGTACTAGTCCTAGTAAAATAGTTATTTAGTGTATTTGTCGCAGTGAGAAGGATGTTGTTGCGTATGTTTGCTAATTGTCCCGTCTGTATAGGTCCAGCTTTTCGTGTAAGCATCCATGCCTTCTATCTCCGGCATTTCCGCTGTGCTTAGCGAGAATGTCTTCCTTGAGATACTCTGGAAGACAATATGTGTAGAATTTCTCAGCAGTAGTGGCTATATACTCTTTGACAGTGGGCATGGATGATTCATTGTGCATGTCTGTAATTCTGGCGTAGCGGTCGTACCCCAAGGCCAGTCGAAGACACCTGTTTTGTACTCTTTGGAGTTTTTGAATGTGGTTATCCGCTATGGAGCAGAAAACTGGAGATCCATACATTAATATAGGTCTTATGATCTGTTTATATAATAATAATAATTTATTGTCACGAGTACCCTACGCCTATGTAGCATAGGGTAAAGTATGCATAGCATAGCCGTAGCTTTGTTAGCTCGTTCTTCAACGTGGTTTTTGAACGTTAGTCCCTTGTCTAGTGTAATTCCTAGGTATTTTAATTTATTCGCTGTTGGAATTTTATTCTGTTGGACCTTCAGCTCAGTGACGATATTATTACTTCGCATTTTAGTTAGTAACACCGCATCGGTTTTATGCGGGTTAATTTTAATTTTATTTTTGTCTAGATAAGGGACTAGCGTTCTATTTGTATGAATCTCCAGTCTTCTCATGGCTATTTCAGCCGATGTTGATGATTTGTATATACAGGTGTCATCGGCATACAACGCCGTCTGTATACCACTAAGTCCCATGGGTATATCATGAGTCATGATGGTATACAGGTGGGGCGAGAGTACCGAACCCTGAGGTACTCCCGCTCTGGCAGTGTATGGTCCTGTAATGGTTTCGTTTATTTTAATATGGAATGTTCTGTTTTGTAGGTAGCTTAAAATTGTTTTTACAAGGTACACAGGGTAATCCTTCACAAACATTTTATAGATTAAACCGTCAGTCCAAACCGTGTCAAAGGCTTTTGCAGCGTCTAATGCCACAAGTACTGTTTGCCGATTTTTGTTGAAGGCTTTTTTGGCGTGATTTGCAATTCTTATTACTTGTGCCACAGTGCTGTGACCAGCCCTGAACCCGTATTGTTCCGAGGGTATAATCGGGTTATCTATTTCGTATGTGTGTAGTCTGTTTAATATTATGCGGTCTATTATTTTGGCTATGCCGTTAAGTAGAGAGATAGGGCGATAGCTCTCAACAACCTTAACGTTTTTACCCTGTTTTAGGATGGGGATCACATTTGCAACTTTAAGTTTTTGAGGGTAATATTGTAATTTAAGAACAGCGTTGGTTATGTGATGCAGCTGTACATAAGCTTTAAGAGTGAAGTTTTTAATTAAATTATTACTAATGCCGTCAGGCCCCGGGGCTCTCCTGTTGTGTAATCTCTTCACCATATCCCTGATTTCTTGTGGAGAGGAGAGTTTATTTCCGGGTACTATGTCCCTCCCCATGTTTTGAATGTCATAGACGGAATTTTCAATTTCTTGCTGTTCGATATTGTTGGGTATATTGTTATCGAAGATTTTTTGGAAGAGTTCGCCGAACGCTTCTCCCTTTTGTATGTCAGTAGAGCACACTTTGTCGTCGTACTTCAGTGTGGGAAGTCGCGAATGTGGCTTTGTGAAGCTCTTCGCAATTTTCCACACTGAATTGTCTTGAGCGTTAATTGTCTCGAGGGTTTTTCTCCATTTAAGGTTCCTGTGTTCGTTGATTAATGTGTTTATCAATGTCGTGAAGTCTAACCCTGTCGTCATCTTGTCTGTGTTGTTGCCAGCGTCGTCGTATATGATTTTTGTTGGTAATGAGGTCAAGGATGTTTTGTGGTAAGTGTCATTTATGATAGTTGTTATTTTTAATGATTTTTATTTATGATATATTTCAAAAGAAGTTAAACAAAACTTTGAAAACATGATTAAATAATCAATAACAGCTATATTACATCTTCGTGCCATTTATTTAACCTCTGATTCATCGGAACTAACACTCTCATAGCTACAAATCACCTCTTTGACTTGCAGTGCAGTACAGTGCAGCCAGTCGTCAACTAGAATTAGAAGATATTTCTTAAAACTTGAAATTCAAAACGTTTTTTTCTGTAAAATGAACACCTTTTGAGATTTTTCGAAATACAAAAGATTTTTGGACTTGTTTTGATCTATCTGGCTTTTTCGTCTGTTTTATGACGAATTTCTGTTATTTTTAACGTATTTAGCGTAATTACTTTAAACTTCAAATTTTAACATTTGTTTTCCGTAAAATAACCTGTTTTTGAGATTTTTCGAAGTAGAAAACATTTTTAAACTAATTTTGGTCTATCTAGTTTTTTTTTATCTGTTTTATAATGAATTTCTATTATTTTAAACCTATTTAGCGTCGTTTCTTAAAACTTGAAATTCAAAAAATTTGTTTTCCGTAAAATAACATCTTTTGAGATGTTTCGAAATACAAAAGATTTTTGGACTAGTTTTGGTCTATCTAGCTTTTTCATCTGTTTTATAATGAATTTCTATTATTTTTTACCTATTCAGCGTCATTTCTTAAAACTTTAAATTCAAAATAAGCCGAACCGAATGTGAGGTACAAAACTAGAGAACATAGCGATAACGGGGATATCGTAGTGTTACATGTTCGCTGTGAAAGCACGGCTATGCCTAATACAAAATAATAAGTACTGTATTTTATCTTCAAAACAAATTGACAAAGTTGTTCAAAACACAATTATTATTTATTAAATTTTACTCAAAAGTACTTGCGGCCATATTTTGATAGGCAACCCGGCAAAACCGTATTTCTCTATCAATAATTATCTATAAAAATTGTATTTTGATTAAAACAACGTAAAACCACGTAGTATTACATTATTTAATTACCTTAAATTTGACTCTTTCAGAAAGGCGATTTGATTCTGACGGTGGTTCGAAAGACAGCTCTCTGGATAGCGGCACGGAGATCAAATACTCTGAATCGAGGAGGGAAGCGACATCGATGTCGAAGTTGACGACACGTGTCGACAGCAGGAGAGGAATAATGACTGACGACAGCGCTATAGGTGATGTCGAATCTGCGGCTCATGATGGCGATATCGATTCCGATCACGAGTATAGGACACGGCCTATTTACTATCCTTCGCAGTCTGGCACTCAAAGGTAAGACATTTTGACACTGGGATTAAGTTGAAACATATATGTAATAAGAAAAACTTGGAGTGGTGTTTGAAAAAGTAATCCGATTGTTTATACTGGATTCAATGTCCCAGTTTCACTTTTGATCTTGAAAATATTTTGACATCTCGTAACACAGAGATCTCTTAATTCTTTTATAAAAGTAAACTAGCAGTTTATAGTCTAATTGCTCATCACTCTATCGACGGACAAGTTTATTTTGTATTTGGTCGTACAATAAAGTTACGTCAGTTGAAATTAAAAAAGATTATTTAACAATAGGTTTTAAGACGTCGCATGAATCTGAAGAGTTTACTGTTGCCAATTTAAACGCTCTACAAGAAAAAGATTAGAAATTAATCACAAAATGTTCCCCGATCCCACATTATCACAAGTGCAACCCGAAATTCCTCAATCAAAAAGTGATGAAATATCAAATATGCTACCCTATATGCCCAACAAAACCGAGAATATTATGCAGCTGCGTTTCAAAACGAGAAAAAAGAAGAAAAATGTATTTAAACATATATATTTTTCTAAAACAAAGTTCTGTTTTTTTTTTAATTGACTTATAACTTTAATTAATTTCGTTTATTTAAAAATAACTTGACAGTTTATTCAAATTATCTCTTCAATTACCTTCCAATAAAAACAAAAAAATATTCGTTATCCCAATATTTACAATACGCGAAACTTCAGACTTGTTTTTCTCATATCACATGTCATGTAACATAGAACCTTATAAGTTTAAGGCAGCGATATAGAATTTTAAAAAGTATTTTTATGCTGACGACAAATTGGTAGTAAGTTACGAGTGAGTTAAGCATTCATTTCGAACTACTCCCGAAGGTCTCTCAACTGCAGAAGAAGAAATATTCATAGACTTTACTGTAAGTGGCGAAATCAAGAGAGAATTTAATAATAAATATATCTTTTAATTTTGGGCGGGAGTGGATGATGCCTTTTATCCACTGAAAATGAGAGTATATCATATATTATTGCCATTTTCAACATCCTACCTTTGCGGAGCCGGATTTTCGGCGGTGGCTACTTTAAAGTCAAAACATAGGTGTCGACTGAATATAAAACCTTTTGAAAAACTTTGCTGTGCAAGACAAGCCCAATGAAGTCACTAGTAATTTTTTAAGCTACTCTTAATTTAGTACTGATGAGTTTATTATTATTTAAACGTGTACTGTACTAACTTAATTTTTTGTAATGTCACAATGAATATCAGTTTGCTTTTCTTTCTGTGAATGAAAATTTTTTTGATTGGTAATACTCGTGTTTTTTTTTTTTAATTTTGATGTGCCGGCGCCCTCACATAGAGGTATGACGCCCCCCTAGGGGGGGCACGCCCTACATATTGAGATACGTTGTTGTAGTAACATGAAGTCGGGACAGGCGCTGCCTCGCAATTTCTGTAGTGAACATTAATTAATATTCGTGTAAATTATCGTTACTTTTAACTGTGAAGACAAAAACAACTATACTTATATTTTTTCCTTAATTTACTAGCGGTGGAGAATTCACCATAACGAACATAGATGCAGATGAATTAAGGAAGTCGCAAAGGAAGAAAAAGACCCCTCAGATACTCGTCCAACAGGCCACGTCTTTAACGTACGGCAGCAACGACTCGGACGACGATGAAGATGAGGTACTGCATACAAAGATTTTTAATTCTTACAAAAACATTTCTAAATTTCAATTATTACAGGCTTCGACTCCTAGCGGCGATAATACAGACCGAAATCCAATGTCGCTATTTTCGTTGAGTTCAGAATCTCTGGATCAACTGGTAACTAGAGAGCGATATCTTCAATCGACATTCGAGAGTATGTCTGGAGTAGATAACGAACATTCTACGCCTTGTAAGTTTACAGACCATAGATTGAGATAAACTGTGACAATTTATTATTAATTTTAGCAAACAAAACGTCTATATCTTCCAAATTTTTAACGAAATCCAACGAAAGGAACATAGAAGCCATTAATGCTGTGAAGCAGACCAAAAACGATCCAGATGCCATGAGAAGAAGACAGGAATTGAGCAAGAGAGTAGCCGAAACTCGAAAGAAATTGGAAAGCGTAAGTTATTTATTTGTTGATGTTAATAGTTTTGTTGTATTCCTGTCATGTTTTAATTTTCAATTAAACTTAATGGTATAGTATTTTCAGTGGAAATTACAATTATTTAAAAAAAATTAATTATTAAATGTAGATATGATTCTTATTCTCATTATTAACACTTTCGCTGCCCATGACGTTCATTAACGTCATAATAGTTCTTTTCCCCATGCCCATGACGTTTTGTAATATCATGTGAAGATGTATGCTTCGATTAATGTAGACAAGCCTATGCAGTGAATTGCCTTTATAACCCCGTAGGCATGTGAAAACGTTCTTAAATTAGTGCATTATGTATTTGGTTTTGATATTATATTTGTGAATTTAACATAGCAAGGATTTAACAGGTTCTAATTAAATGATGTTCCTCATTGCACGATATTTCAATTTGTGGCGTAGACAGGCAAACAAGTCTTTAATAAAAGTTATATGAATTTAAAAAACAATATAAAAACATTTTTGGATATACAGTATGTTACGCTTTTGCTTGGAAAGTAAAAATATATATTTGTTAAATGGAACACTGTATTTTATCTCAGTTTTAGAATTCTTAGGGAATACTGTATTGAACCCTAGAATATTTTTAAAAATTATTACAAGATTGCCAAGCAATTAATTTTTTGTGAAATAAAATAATACAGTTCACAAATAAAATTATCAGAATTTAAGTAGCTTATGAGTTGAACATTATTTAAAATACAAGCTTATAAGATACCAAATTAACGAAGAGACATGATAGAACTAGTTTATTTTATACAGAGGACTTAAATACAACACCCTGTATATTATTTTAGCATTAAATTCATTATTTATCTAACGATACCATCATGTTAGCCTGCTATACATATACAGGGTGTCTCATCATTGCGTATTTGATCGACAGCTGTTTTATTATTAAAGATACTGACATTTTTGAGTTGTACGACCATATTTTAAAATTAAAAGTATACAGGAAAGTTCATAAATAAGTGGTGGAAAAACTTATACTGTTTTAAAATAAAACCCCTTTGTATAAGAAATATATTTGTTCGCACATCGTCAAACAATTTTAATAGACTTAACGTTTCTAAAAATGTTTTGATTTTCCATTTATTTGCTACGTTGTATATAGGGTGAGTCAAAACGCAAGATTACGATTTCCTTTTTTTCAAATAAAATGCCCTGAATCACTAATTTAATTAGCTAATTTAGTTTCTTTACTTTTTATTTTGTTTGGCATTCTTGAGCATAAACTGATTTTTAAATTTTATTTATAATAGTTCATATTACTTGTAACGTCGAAGGAATAGAAAACCATTAATTAATTCTGACAAATGGGTTGCCAAAAATTACATTAGCATTTTACCCTAAATAAGTCCATATTTTCAAAAGCCAATTAGAAAAATGTGAAAAAATGTTCATGGTAAAATCGTCAAAATTTGGGAATAGAATGCCAAACAAAATTAAAAAAGTAAAGAAATTAATTAATAAATTGGTGGAATAACACCTCAAGTGTAAACATACCCTGTATACATCACAGCAAATAAATGAAAAGGTTAAACATTTTTAGGAACGTTTAGTCTATTAAAATTAAAAAACGATGTAAAAACAACCAAATCTGTAAGGCGTAAGTACCTACAGGGTGTTTGGTTTAAAAAACTATCTGTTTGGTTTTCCCCTCATTTATAGACTACCATGTATATTTAAGAATAATTGTAAAATATGGTCTTACAACTTTTATATTAAACATTTTTTCATATCTCCAATAATAAAATATCTATCGATCAATTACCCATTGATGGGGCACCCTGTATATGTATAAATAAAACACTATAAAATGAACCAATTCTTTCATCACAGCTTGGTCCTTATAAGTTGAAAAATAATCTAGTGATAAATGCAGTATTACTGCCTCTTTAAAACTGAAATAAAATAGAGGGTGTTCCATTTAAAAACATGTTTTTACTTTCCAGGCAAAAGCGTAACACCGTGTATACCCAAAAATGTTTTTAAATTATATTTTTTTCAAATCCGCATAACTTTTATTCAAAACATGTGTCTGTAATACAAATTGAAATATCAAGCAATTATGCAGTAATGGGACAGCCTATAGAATAGAATAATTTTATTAACTATTTTACATAAGTAATTATGTTTATAGCAAGTCATAGGTGGTAACAGAATTTGAACAATATAAAAAAAACAAATTCACTGTTGGGTTTTAATTAACAGTACTGGCGCTGGGGACAGTAACAAAGCCTACACAGAACACGAGTTGAAATAACCTTAGCAGTTGAAGCCGATGACACCCAAAAAAAAAAACAATAAATATTAGGTACTTATCAAGGTTAAAATTGTGATGAGGCAGAGTGACAGTGAGATGTCTCATACAGAACGAAAATGAGCTACATAATCATTGACAGAGTAAAAACAATGTCTAAATAGATATTTTTTTAATGTTTTTTTAAAGCATTATTACTTAAATTTTTAAAGTTCTGCGGTAATATGTTAAATAAGTTATAATTTAGGGAATTTATTTCAGATAGACTTAACCTAAAACGAGTATTTCTAATACAATGTGAATTACGTGTCTTGAAATTATGAATATCGGACTGTTTCAGCAAAACAGACTGTTTTCTATGAATTTCAACAAGTGTATGATGTAGATATAAAGTAGGTAGTGGCATAATTTTAAATTTAATAAAATGTTGTTGACAATGTTCTCTGAATCCAATATTAGCCATAATTCTGATAGCTTTTTTTTTGCATCCGGAAGATTTGAATAGATTGAGAAGAGTTTCCTCAAAGTGGTACACCATAGCTGACATGCGAGTGAAAGAGAGAGAAATACGTAGTTTTGAGGGTATTTAAGTTGGTAAGTTTTTTTAACTGCCGAAGAATAAACAAAGAACTAGAAAGTTTTTTCTTCTTATAGAACTACGACGAGAGTTTAGTCTTTTTTCATCCTTTCAGACTTCCTCTTAAACTACTCTTGATTGTTTTTGACTCCCCGCCTTGAATGGTCCAGCCTTCCTTACAAAATTTTGGCTAATTGGCTAATTGTACCACCATTTGGACTTCTTTCGATTTATTAATTCCTCATTTATTCCACTCCCTAGATAGGCTTCCGAGAACTTATAGTCTCGGGTCAACCATTCATGACTACCTTAATCAATAAATTAATTTATAGGTACACCGTCAGCTAGTGGTCCAGTAATATACGTCTTTGACATCAGTACTTGACATCCTATAGATGTCTATATTCTTTTTTTTGTGTTAACTTCTGTCTGTATTTATAAATTTATAATCACCCTGTATATATAATAGGTATTCCCCAGAATAAATTTTTAGATTTTCATTGTGTATGGCTCATGACGTTAATGAACGTCCAAACTTCTAAATGTTCGTATACCGATGGGCCAGAGCGTATAGTTGGCATTAAAGCGTTAAAATATATTGAGGTTAGCTTCATAAATAATTAGTAAAATTTATTAAAAAAAACATAGGAATAATTTTTTTATTATTATTTTGTACTTATTTTTTTGTTGTTATGAGCTATGAGGAGAAATATTCTAAAGAAAGTTTTGTTATTATAATTAAAACAAGCTCTTTTTATCGGATTGTTTATTTCACTAGAAAAAACTCATACCAAGAACAGTTATGAACTGAAAATAATAACAAATATAGTCCATATCATTTTCATCTAATTCTGTTTCTGTTCCAGACCATATTGTTCGCCTGAAATTTGTAAAACTTTCAGTGTTTTTTGTGCTGCCACTTTAGAAAATGCGTTTTTCCGATCATTTTTTAGCTCGGAAAGTGCGTCGTTGCCGATCTAGATCGGAAAATTGACATAACTGCTTAGAACAGTGACATAACTGCTCGGCAAAGTACTTACTTTCCCGAGCTCTTATGTTAAAATTTTCATTAAAGAGAAAATACCAGCATCTAGCCAGAGAGAATTTTCGAAGGGTATATTAAATATCACAGTTGCCATGACAATACCGTAGCCATCTGTCAGTAGATGTTAATAATAAATGAATTAAGTTTTGTTATAAATGTTGAGCAATAAATATTCCGTTCCTATATTATTGTCAAATTATTGGTGGCAGCACAAAATATATTGTACGCGCCACACTCGGAAAGTGTATTTACAGGGCGAGCATGCTTTCAGGGCTACGCCTTCGGCGTCGCCCTAAAAGATATCACTTTCCGAGCTGACTCGTAAATAACTATTTTGTCGGTAATTCCCAGCTTTTAAAAATCTGTTTACTACGCCTCAAAACTTTTATCACTAATTTAACGGCTTTAGCCATTTTAAATATCCGTCCATTATTATAACCTTATTATTTTTAGGTCGGCCACAGTCCGCTGAAATTCAGCCAGTCCATCCACGACCTCTCACACATCCCAGAACGAGACCGTTGGTCAAAAAAACAAGGTAATGCCTCATACGATACCACGCTAGGCGCGTTTCATAATAATAAATGCTTGTGTGACCCAGAAGCTAACCCATCTCATCATTCTAATACTTGCAGCAACATATCCATTACTAACTTAACTAATAGCACTTCTTACACAGCAGATTTACCGCAGAGCAACTCTGTACCATCTGACTTACAACTTTGCGGATGTTACATGAAAGACATCGCCAAAAACACATCACAGCTTTCTTGTATGTTAAATTTGAGCCACAGATACACAACGGCAAACTTAGATCTTAACACCAAAGATAATAATATTGTAGGTGCGAGGTTAAGCGATGTTTCTAAGAGTCCCGAAAAATCCCTCAACGATTTGATCCGTCCAAGAAAACTACAGCTGGATAAAACTCTAGCTAAGTACAAATTGCACAAAAGTTTACCAGTCAGTCCCGTAAGTGAAGAAAGGCAGTTCTCCGATTATGTCGAGCAGAAAAATGAAACGTCAGCCGCGCGAAAATCTTTCAGTTACTTCTTAGACCTTGAAAAACAATCTACCGAAGACGGTTTTAAACAAATTTGCAGCGATATAGAGAAATTTAGTGAAGATTTTAGCAAGAAGTACGAACAAATCGAGCTGAACTTTGATAAGAAGATAGAAATTAAGAAAGAAACTAAAAAAGATGAAGACGACGGCAATTTCAGCTCTGATTCGTTAGAAGACTACTGTTTCCTGACAGGTGGCACTAAAAAGAATAAAAAAATTGTTCCCCCACGCCGCTGCGTTTCTCACAACGAAATATACAAACAAGAAGAAGAAGAAGAATATTTTGAAGAAATTCCTAAAAGCGAGAGTTTTTATCTCAATCAGAACATACGTACATCTCAAGACAGCATACTGTCAGATGATAATCTACTGGATTACGATTTCGGTTCAGGAAGATCCAAAAGTCACTGTACAAGCTTAGAAAGCGTACTCTCTACAGAATCTGAATGTAAATCAGCTCCGCTAGAAATCCTATTCGAATCCCACAAGAAGTCGCATCACTATATATCGCACTCCCAGAGCGTACCAAAGAACATGTGCACTCCATTCGATGTAGAAATGAGCTCGAGCCTACCCAAAAACTACCCCGATTTCGGCACCTACGATTACGGCTCCAAGTGCGAGGTTAGGTGCTTGCATAACGCTCCGAAAATCATCAAAGCCACAAAAACGTGCCAAACTCAAACTGATTTCGCAACCGCGCAAGAAATAGTCACCAAAAAAGCCGTAAGAGGGAGCGAAGAGTTTCAAAAGAAACTGCTCAAATTCGAACAGAAGAAACCTATCAGTTTCTTTGTGGAAACGAAGGCCGCAAGAAGTTCAAAGAGCAAGGAAAATCAGCCTCACAAAACTAAAAATGCGACCGAAATGTACATTCCTAGTTCGGCTAGTAAAAATAATCAATACAAAGCGAAATTGTGCAATGTATTAAATAACAAACCCGAATTTAACATAGAAATTTTTGAAACCGGTTCGAAAGACCATAGAAACGGCAATTCGATTCCTCTGTCGAGAGTCAACTTTCAGAAAAATACCAATAAGCATGTACAAGAAACGTCAAGTCTCGACAGGCATTTATTTACCAAGAGTCTTTTATCAAGCGAGAAAGTTTGCCACAAACCTCCAAAAGCCATTAGAAGACATAGTTCCAAAATAAAAAAGACGAAGACTAGTTACGAATATATAAGAAAAGAAGATTTTTACAGCAATACAAGTAAATGCAATAAAACCAAGGACGTCTTGAATAACCTCACCAATCAAGATATCGTTACAGACGAAAATACTATAGAACTGAATTTTAAAGAAAAAATAATCGATAGAGAATTAGAAACGGGAAATAATAAAGAACAAAATATCTTAAGCGAGTTGTACGATAGTCTCGATAAGAAAACTTTACCGTCGAAGATGGACTACGATTCTCTAGAAGTCAATTTAAATACGCATAGCTCAGAAGAAAGGTTATTCGACAGTTTGGAAGTAAATGTATGGTCTAAAAACAGCGGCATGTCAAAAAACACGGCTTTTCAGCTAGAAAACGTACTCAAAAAACCGAATTCACCTTGCAAGAAAGACTCTATAGCTTTCGCGCTAGAAAACATCAAGCTTTTAAACACCATTCAACGAAAGTTACACAAAATCAACACTCTCGTAGACATTTTCAAACAAAACATGAGTTCGGGGAAGGTCAGAGCGTTGTCCAGCATGTATGAGTCGATGACGAGCTCCAAGAGTTACTACAATGATTTAACCAAGCTGCAGGCGACTCCAATACGATTCAGAAGAAGGAATTTGAGCCTGCCTAGTTTCGTGGAACGTCGACTGAACTACGATGTAAAACCGGATAACAGAATTGAGGTTAGGAACGTACCGGAAATCGTTGTTACCAAGAAAGAAGACGAGTCGAACGCTGAAGGTGAATAAAGATAAATGTGCAGCATGAAATGTATTGTGAAGCAAAGGCTGTAGAAATGGCTGCCTGAAGAAGACCCTTTTGTTGTTTATTTTAGATTTCTTGCACAAATTTTATTTTTGCATGCTCTTTTTACCAGCGCTAAGCTACAATTTTGAGGTTATGGTGACAATTTGGTAAATATTTAATTATGATATTGTTTGTGTATGTTATAGCAAGTTTCGCACTTTTAATGGAATCACCTTTATACTGTATTTTTTGTACTATAAGACGCACCTTTTTACTTGGTCCGAAGGTAACATTAATAGATGGCGCAGTTTTAAAAAGGAGTGACAACAATAGTTCAAACGATAGTAATACGAATGGTGACAATAACGCGACGAGTGATACTACTGACAGTGAAGTTGAACTGAATATTGCTAGTAACAATAAATAAACATTATTTTTCTAAAATCACCTTATAAATCTTATAAATTTGAGATGCGTTTTATCGTCTGGTGCGTCTTATAGTCCGAAAAATTCGGTCTATCTTAGATGTCGACTTTGATTGATAAACATAAATCAACTTTTTCTTTCCAATAGAGAGTTATTGCCGATTGTCACTTTACGAATACGGCAACCTTATTTCTTGCATTATTCAGAATAAAGTCCAAACAAAAATTAGCGGTATCACAAATACAGGGTGTTTCCGAACTTGGCGTCCAAATTTGTAGGGGTGGTAGTTCGCATAATTTGAGACCGATTCGCAGATTTCATTTTTACAAAATATTTAAAATAAAAATATTAAAAATTTTAAACAATCGGCTACGTCTTTCGATACCGGCCTGGCGGAGGGAGAAATTTGCAAATCGCACCTGTTTTTGAGTTGTAAATCCCGATGAGTAACCTATCAAGCTACTATTGCGCTACGCGCTCAGGGTAGGACCCGCTTTTTTATTTTTTTATAATGCTCTATTTTGTTTATTATAATTTTTTTAGAAAAATGAAATCTGCCAATTGCTCTCAAATTATGAGAACTACCACTCCTACAAATTTGGACGCCAAGTTCGGAAACACCCTGTATATATTTGACATGCTATACGGTGACGCCTGTTATGGTTTCAAAATTTGAACAGTCTATTACTCTTCGAACAAGTGATAAAAATGAACCTCTCATGCAAATAAAACGTTTAACATAAATAATATTTAAAATCTATATAAAAATCCTGTAAAAAATATAAATATAAAGCTGATGATATTTAGTAGATTAGTCTCTCCCGCCCAGCTGATTCTGGTTACCTGAAATTTAAAATAAAACATACCTTTAGTATTCGAAGAACCAAAATCTAAGTCCTGAAGTTACTGACCTTCTTCAATTGGATTTTTCTCTTAAATATCCTGTTAATAGTAATTTCCTGTTTCTTTTTCCTCAAGTCGTTGATATTTCTATCCTAAAATAATTTATAATATTTATAGTTATTTATTTTAATTTGTGTCACTTGTCCTTGTGTCATTGTCATTCAATTCACCAGATTGACAAGATTTGGTTCTGGGTGCACAAAAGTTATATTATAACTTGACAAGACTAGGCAATAATAATATTAGTAATTGTTTCTAAATAGAAAGACCTTTGTTTTACGTTTTTGAAGAGATTCTGCGTTTTTGAAGAGATTCTGCGTTTTTGAAGAGATTCTAATATTGGACTTTCAACCTTTGAAGGGTTGATTTGCCCATTCTGACATAGCTTGTTGAACTGCAGAGAGCTCTGTATTGACTTTTCTTAGAAAAGGATTCTTTTAGCAAGATTTATTAAGGAAGCAACAATATTATCAAGAAAATAACCGTTTATATATTGTTTGATATATATTAAAAAGGATAAGGTGGGGGAATATCGACTACTTAAGAATAAACGGTTATATAATTTTTGCCATCACTTTTACAAATTTGAAATTTAGAGTACGGACACTTCGCTTGTTTAGCTAACTAATAATTTTTTCAAATTTTTTAAAATTATTATGTAAAAATTATTTTTGATATGCGTAAATATTTCGAGTAATATCGATCAGTCGGGTAATATCGACAATTTAGTTGGGTAATATCTATCAGGGATGGGTAATTTTGATCATCAAATTCACTAAGGTTAAACTACATAGCAAATATTTATTTAGGTAAGAGATGTCTTACAGTTAAGTCAAAAAGAGAAATTAGTTGGATTTATAATTTAAACAAATGTATGTAGCAGTATTATCTGCTTCATTACAGTCTGCATGAGCCTATAGTCCACATAGACGACATCTTCACTATAATTCATTCGATACTAACTCCAAACATACTGCACATAATTCACTTTGTGCTCTTTGGTGTACTATTGTGTCATCAGCTTTCTTCTTGACAACTTTTCCAGATTTTTTTGGGCTACCTCCAATTGCTCGTTTCACTTTCTCAACCTCATTCTTTTTTTTTTGTTTTTTCGTTTCCTTATTTTCCAGTTCTTCTTTTAAAGGTGTTGATGTTCATATGGTCGAGTGCTGAGATCTCCTGCTTCTAGTTTTTGTGTAACCACTGACCTGGTAGTGCCGGTAGGGGACATATTTCACCGAAAGATATACTGGACACATTCTTATCTTTAAGCTTAACGAATGTATCCCTATCTTCGCTCAAATCGGTGTCTGAAACTTCCTCTAACTCTGAATTAGATGAAAAATCTTCTGACGTTGACGGTGATTTCAGTTTATGTTTTTTATTTTGATTTCCACTAGGCCCTAGTCTTGTTAGTTCATCTGGAAGAACCGGTGTTGGTGATGGTGTCCGATGTCTATCGGGCAGAGAAGGAGGATCATCTTGACATTCCTCTTCTTTGCAAAAAACATCGGGATTGATGGAAAGATATACTGGACACATTCTTATCTTTTAGCTTAACGAATTTATCCCTATCTTCGCTCAAATCGGTGTCTGAAACTTCCTCTAACTCTGAATTAGATGAAAAATCTTCTGACGTTGACGGTGATTTCAGTTTATGTTTTTTATTTTGATTTCCACTAGGCCCTAGTCTTGTTAGTTCATCTGGAAGAACCGGTGTTGGTGATGGTGTCCGATGTCTATCGGGCAGAGAAGGAGGATCATCTTGACATTCCTCTTCTTTGCAAAAAACATCGGGATTGATGGAAAGATCCCTGTGGTTCGAAAACCATTTACAGCTTTCTCAATGGATGCAGCCCGGTTGAAAGCATTTTTAACAAGTTCGGCAATATCTGTTGTATTCATTTTCTCATATTTATGTTTTATATATTTGTCACATTCTTGATAGTAAGCTGACTTAAATGGAACAAAAAACGTGACATCGAGGGGCTGGAGACGATTGGAAGTGTGTGTTGGCAGCCAAAAGCAGGTGTATTCCTGTTTCGCGACAAAAATTGTAGGAAGTCAGACTTGAGTGAGTGGTGTGGTTATCCAGCACTAAAAGAACTAGATGATCTTTAGAAGCCTTTACATGTCCCTAAAAATTTTTTAGCCAGTCAAAGAAAAGTTGTTCCGTTATCCACCCTGATTTTGAACATCTTTATATATTGCCCCAAGAGGACCGTTTTTGTCCAAGCCTTCTTTCATCCGATTTATTCTGGAAATAAACATAGGCGGTATATATTGACCTGAGGCACTAAAAGCGCAAACCAGCGTCGTTGTTTGCTCTCGTTCGCCGCTGGTAAGTGCACCAACTTGTTTCTGTCCTTTTGCAGCTACAATTTTACAGAGATCATGGACAGTAATAATACCCGTCTCATCAACATTGAAAATTTGATGCGATTCAAATTTGAAACGGTCACAGAGGTTTGCCAAGTACTCGTAAAATATCTTCAGTCCCTCACGATTGAAACCTGTAACTCTACTCAAACTTGTTGGCTCTGGTTTGCGCAAACTGAGCTCCGGATGACGTCGCATAAACGAGTAAAACTAGTCCTTTCCACACATTTTGGTTTCCATAAAACGTCTTCGACATTTCTAAAATTCTTAATGCAAATTCGGATTCTTGTTTGTAAAGTTGTATAGCTTGGACGCCCCTCTTATCGAAAGTATTTTGTCGCCTATGTCGCTGAGAGCTCTTTTCATCGCCACATCGGTCCATGAAGTGCGTGTTGTTTTTCTCTTATATTTCCGTGGCATCTGAAATAAATAAAAGCCAGTGTGGCCTATCATATTGGGGTAATATCGATCACCTTGGAGCTAAATCGACCGATCGATCATATTTTATCTGAAAGTGTGTCCATTGTTGATACAAACTTTTTCAGAAAACCCATAACTTCAAATTATAGTATTTTATGATAAATATATTCTAGAAACATGCATTGAAAACAATAAAATTCTGGCTTCGACTAACGGAAGAGTCGCATACCTTAAAATGTGATTGTAGAATCTTATAAAATACTTGCACAAAACACAGATTGTACCACGCTTAATCTCTATGAGGTATGAAACATAACTGTATGACCAATCTGACACCTGTGGCTGTCGCGTCAAACGTGTGCGCATGGGTTTTGCTCTACGGCGCAAATTAGACGAAATTTGAATGTGATCGATATTAACCTGCGGTCGATATTCCCCCACCTTCTTCTATATCTTTTGGCTAGGGATTAAGATTACTAAGATAATATCAAATTCTTCTATAAGGCCACCCACCAAGTCTCTTTGAATTTGTAACAATAGTTTGAAACCTTCGATAACTTTTAATATGTATATTTTCACGTTAGTTACATGTTTCTTGTTTACATAGTTTTTTTTTGTATTTCCCATCGTATAGAATCTTTATATAGATTCTGAGCCAACACGTCTCTAACCACTTAACCTTTTCGCTGTGGCAAATGCACATATGCGGCCTGCCCAAGTGAACGGTGCGTTTGTGTGGGCTGTGTATCTCTAAATATAATGGTCTCGTTTGAATACCGCAATTACGGTACCTAAGTCTACAAAATTGTGTCCTCAAGTAGCCAGATATGTGACCTATAATTAGGCAATTTTTGTTTCTCAGGAAGTTTTGATAAATACTTCCTAGATGGCTACACCAAATTGAAAATGGAGCGTTTCTTAGGCACATATTACCCACATGAGATGCGAAAGTTGACAAAGAACATCAAAATAAAGAAAGATAGATATATGACTATACCAATTTAAAGATCCTTCCTAGTAACTCGTTTTGCAAAAGTTGTTTCATTATGCGAATTTGCCAATGCTTCTAGGTTTACCGATGTTATGTGACTTTGGGATTTAAGTTAAATGAAAAATAAATGTACATACAATACATTTTTTACATTAGGTACTACATACGTTAGATGCAAATGGTGCATAATTTAAGTTGCTAAACATAAAATCTAAAACAACGTAGTTTTATTATCAATCACATCCATCTCAGTTGTAAGACAAATTGGAAATAATATCATTTTGGATTTAATTTTCTATAAGCACATTCGAATAAAAAAATAATGTATGAAACACGGACGAAAAGTGTCCCGAAAAACTCAACTTATAACATACTAGTATTGCACATCTACACACTAACGTCCTTTTGATCAGCTGTTGCAATATTCTTCTTGCAAATACATAAAATAGCGACGGATTGAAAATGTATTGCCTCAAGTCGTATTTTAGTTGCAATTGTGGACCTTGCTGCAAAAAGGGAGCAGCTCCATTTTTGTTAACTTTTTGTGGAATTTTTACCAAAATAAAAAAATAAAATATATTTCAACTTTGACACTCTACAACGGTTTTATTATTTATTATTTCATTAAATCAAGTTGAGTCAGATCATAATATTTTACAAGTCAATAAACTATATACCATTACTCTACAAATTACCCTGTTTATAAATAATTGTAAACATAAATTATGATTTGTCTTAAATTTTATTAAATTAAATTTTACGAAAAAGCGCATTTTTTTTTTACTAATTCCGCTTTCAACATATTTTCGATACAATATATATTTGTTTTCAACAATCGAATATTTCAGCTTTTTTCTATGCCCTCGTATTTTTCCAAGCAACGAGTTATCTCATACACTGACTAAACTTGGTTCAAAACCCGAAAGAGTAGATTGAAACCACGTTTCAAATACATTTGTTTCCGTCTTCGTGATAATACTCGGTCCTTTCATGATTCAAAAATATTCCTTTGTACTTTACCCAAAGGTGATTTCAATTCCTTGTAAGAAAGCATCTCTACAATTTTTAATTTCTAAATCTTGCCAAGCTTTTGTAACACTGTATGCTTGATTAACCCTTGTTTCGTCCTCATAATAAATGGTTTCTCCTTATTGCGATATCTACGAATTTCTTTTTCATATTTTCTACACCAAACAACGATTAACTCTTTTTCTTAAAATAACAAAAATTTTGATGCTTCATCTACTATATAACCTGGAAAATGTTCCCGAATACCATCGTATACATTTTTTATTAAGTTATATTCAAAAAATGATCATGTTTTGCAGGAAGGTTTTGGTACAGCTAGATAACTCCTGATTCATTTTTAAAAATGTTTAAAAGAATAACAATAAATAAAAGTACCACCATGTACCTGTTACCGTATATAGCCACGACGACGCATTTTCATAGGTCTTAGACATGTTATAACGCACTTCAATTTGAACCAGACGGGTTAGCACGGATGTCAGATGTACATTGTTTTACATACATGTTGGGTCTGATTTGATTAAAAAAGGTTTAAACACTGTGTCTTGAATTTAAATATAATTTACCTCCGAGACAAAAAATTATCTTAAACATTTTATTTGCATAATTTTTATGAAGCAAGAAATTCTTCTTTCAATTTATGGCAACTCTATTACACATTCCTAAAATTTTTCCACTGTCTATTATTTTGATAACATAGTATAGTTCATTTATTAAAAAACCAAGGGTGACTCCATTAAAAACACGCTTAGAATCTTTAAAAATATAGTATATTTAAAATTTCCGAAATAATAGTAAATTTTATCAAACACCAAGTGATTAATTGAATCAAAAGTCATTGATTTTATTTACAAAAAGTTACATCAAAGTAAATTACTAACAAAATAAAACTAAAGAAATACTCGTCGAACGTACAGTACGTTGTGGCTTAGTGGCGCACCTTTTTTATTATTTTTTTTTCTGCATGTTGTTTCAGTCTATTTGGACGAAAGCTCACCAGATAGCAGTTTGCGTAGGTCTTGCAGCTTAAGCGACTTAAGTATGCAAACCTCTTCTGTACCTAAGAGAAAAATTGAACAAGGTAAGTTAAGCTTTGGGCCCAAAGTGTATTCATCATCTCAAACGGTTATATTAATCTGATTTTTTGTAAAGAATCTAGATCTAGGCACATGGGGCGTTTAATATGTAATCCAGCTCAATCCATTTTTTTTAATTTCTTTTCTTTACCCAGTCCAAATGCGACTGTAAACTGCGGTCTAAAAAACATAACTTTGAGTGCAGTGGGCTATTAGGAACAAAACTTTGATAAACCTATTTGATATTCCTAGATTTGTTCGGACAGGACTGGTTTTATAAATTTTCTCGTTCTTGAAATGTTATTTTCACATGATTATATATGTATATTGAATAAGTGTACATATTGTTATGAGAATTATAGATAAATTCAATGAGAATTATGTAAAATAATTCAGTTTACAAGTAAACCATCTGTTCCTGTTGAGCAATATGGAGACAATACCTACATTCAATGTCAAATGTACTATTTAAAAGGATGTGATTGTTAACAGGGCATCCATTCATATTATAATATGATAAGAAAAACTCAAATTTTATAATTATTCTACTACTATAAGGGAAAGATATACTTACATCGGTAACAAGGTATTTTTTAGAAAAACAAAATTATATAAATATAGACCTTTACCATAAAAACTGCATTTTCAAATAAACTATAGTAATAATTTGATTTACGAGTGCAAGATAAATTGGGGCATTGGATCCAATCAGCAAAAAAATTAATGGCATCTAATTTACATCTGCCACATAGAGAGAATGTGTTCAACATAAATTTGTTAATTATTTGCTGTGTAAACACCACTTGCCCTGTCATGCCGTTGATTATGGAAGTATGTGGCATGCAAAGCCTAAAAAAACAGAAGAAGCCATGCTCTTATTTATGTTTCTCTATAATATTAATTGACGGGAGATCAGTTATAGTGTACTACTACTATTACTTAGCTTTGTGACACCTACACTACAAACGCGCCATACATCTTTGCTTTTTATTAGAAGACATAGAACTTATTAAGGGAAAGGCCATTTATTGACCGAATGTGCATTATTTATAACATATTATTATATATTATTTAGAATAATGGCATACGAATTATTTTCGACTAGTCCTGTTATTCTATAATTCCTTACGTTCTTCTCTGCCTATTTGGATCTTTTATGGCCTCCATTTTTCACGTTTTTAAGAATATTCGATAAAATAGGTCAACCTCCGAAGCCCATATGATAGGCCCATGCTCGTCATCGCCAGTTGAAGTAACCGTCCATTCTAGTACTGATTCTAGAATATATTAGATCCGTCGAAGCATGTTCTGGCGGAGGAGCCATATAGCTGGAATAAAGAAAGTCTGTAGCGCCACATATGTAGACTATCATCTATCTATCTAAATTAGTACGTGGTTCAAAGCCCACTTGTACTAAAGCTCTAGGCTTATTGTACCCCTCAGTTTCTACCCCATCAGATTGATTTTCTTATGAATTCAAGAATATGTCTGATGGGCGCTTTCGCGATTTCTTCAGGTTCTCCTCTTCACATATTCTACATAGGGGGTCATCAGATAACCCTAAGAGATTTAGGTGTCTTCTAAGGCCGGAGTGTCCCGTAAGGAGTTCGCTTCTGATAAAGTTTAGTAGTTGATTTTGTCTGCTCTTGGATGGCCCCTCTATGAATCTCTTTTGGACTGTCTGGGAAGTTCCAACCAGAGCCTATGGTGTTCTCTATTTATTTGTTCCTTTAACACCCATTTAACATGTTACGTTGGTATGAAATACCATATGTGGGTTCTGATCCAATTAGAGTTTTTTTCGCTTCCTTCCTTTCTAGGAGATCTGCTTTCTCGTTTCCAAACACTCCCTCATGTCTCGGCACCCATTCAAGAGTGACCTTGTTATGTTCTGCCAGAACCTGGAGGAACTATTGGCAATCAAGTATTTAGATTATACTTCTACCCTTTTCAGTGCTTCAAGGTCTGCCTGACTGTCTATCATGATAAAGATCCTCTTAGCTCTAAAAGAGTCATTTAGCATATCTCCGGCGTAGGCATTAATTGCTGTTACTTCAGCCTGGAAGACTGTTGTCAGTGACTCCAGGTTCAGACTAATGGTCCTCCCTGAGTTCACATGGTAGATTCCAGCTCCTGTGCTGTTTTTCATTTTCGAACCAAACCGTCTGTATACCAGATTGATACGTTTTGTTTTTCCCTATTTTCCCGACTTTTGGCCCTTTCTGGTATTTGAATATCGAAAGGTTTCCTGAAGTTGTAAATAATGGGCGTTCTATCCGATGGCATTCATAATACCGGATTTTGTTTTGATTTCTCTAATATCTATGTGTGGTGTCCTTTTCTCGAAAGTTCCCATCCAAATCCATTAGTAAACAGCCTGTATGCCGCCGCCATAGCCTCCTTCTCCACCACAAGATGTAATGGAGGAAGACCTAACAGTAGCTCCATTACTGCTGTGGGCGTAGTTCTAAAAGCCCTTGTTATTAATAGACAGGCTAGTCTTTGTACCTTGTCTAATGTTCTGTTAGCAGTTATGCTTTTATTCTTGTGCCATCATGCATAAGTTCTAACAGGTTCTACGACCATAGTGTAAAGCCAGGGCATCATACTTGGTTTAAACCCCCATATGTTCCCTACCATTCGTCTACGGGCCCATAGTATTCTTACATCTTTTTCTACTGTTTTTCTATATGGCTGTAGAAGCAAGCTTGTTATCAAGAGTGATTCCAAATATTTAGCCTCTTTTGCCATTTTTAGATGTTGTTCCCATATATAAAGCTCCTTCATTGCTTGAGTGCCCTCTACATCCTTTCGGATACAACAGACCCAAATTGACCGTTTACTACGATGCTTATGTCGTCTGCAAATGCTTGCGTGTATAAGTTTTCTCTCTCTAACTCCCATAAGAGGTCATCAACCACCAAGGTCCACGTAAGAGGAGATAACACTCCTCCCTTGTTAAATGACACCTCTCTTTTATTAAGGAAATTACTGGTAATGGTTCTATGATTAAGCATGAACTCAACCCACTTCTTAATGCATAGATCCAAGTATTGAATTATATGAAGCCTAATCAAAGGCTATTTCCATATGTAGGAAGACTCCTACTGCTATTTCTTTGCTTTCCAATGCTTGTTCAGTCTTTTGAGTTAGCTATTTATGGCTGCATCGCAAGGCTTTCCAGACTGATAGGCAAACTGGTATTAATGTATCAGTTGATCCCGTAGAACATCGTCCATCGTCCCGTATATATCTATCGATCAATTTCTCCAATGTTTTTAGAAGAAATTATGTTAGGCTGATTGGTCTGAAAGATATGGTATCCCGGGTTTGGGAACGAAGACAACTCTTGCACACCTCCAGCTTTGTGGAATATATCCGAGGGCTATGCTAGCATGGAATAGTTTACACAGAGGTCCCTCCAGTACTTCCTGGCCTTTTTGTAGAAGTGCCGAGATTATGTCATCAGGTCCAGCTGTTTTGTACGGTTGAAAAGAATTTATCGCCTACACAAATTTTGTTCTGTTTACTATTGAGTTTGCAAGAGACCAGTTTGTTTTTGAGGCACTAGAAATTAGTGCCTCAGTACTCCTGTTCTCTTGGTCAATAATAATCTCATATCCAGGAAAGTGTGACTTCAGTAGTAAATCTAAAGTCTGTTTTTCTGAGTTCTCCTTGTTGATTTTTCAGAGATCTCATGCATCCATGCTTATCTCTCTGTAGAGTTTTCCTAAGTTAGGAACATTCTGGAAGGCTTTCAATGCCGTCACAGAATTTATTCCAGGAATTTTCTTTGGCTTTCCTAATGACATAACCATATTCTCTCCGGTACGCCTTATATGCTTCCCAGTTCCCCGACCTTTCGTACAGGTTAAAAGAGTTTACGAACTTCTGCTTTTTTTTTGGAAAGGTCTCGATTTCAGCATACAACATCTCGATCCTCTTTCCTAAATTTTATAGGGCAGTTTTTTTTGAAACGTGTTGGTTAGAGTTCTTGTCAGAAACTCTGACATAAACTCAACTTTCACTGAATTCCTCAGTGCCAAAGGACAGTCATCCAGTCCCTGTTTGAGTTCCTCCTTGAAGGCCCCCCCAGTTACAAGTACTAGGTTTACGATGTAGACTAAGTTTTGTCGTTTCCAGCTCACGATCTTCTAGCTTATAAAGTATTTAGTTTTTAGACATTTTTATTTACAGTATCTCACTTCTTACAACAAACAAACAAACAAACAAACAAACAAACAAACAAACAAACAAACAAACAAACAAACAAACAAACAAACAAACAAACAAACAAACAAACAAACAAACAAACAAACAAACAAACAAACAAACAAACAAACAAACAAACAAACAAACAAACAAACAAACAAACAAACAAACAAACAAACAAACAAACAAACAAACAAACAAACAAACAAACAAACAAACAAACAAACAAACAAACAAACAAACAAACAAACAAACAAACAAACAAACAAACAAACAAACAAACAAACAAACAAACAAACAAACAAACAAACCGTTTAAATAAATAAATAAACGTTACAATAACAATTCTGTACTGTACCTATTTGAATACATAAAAAGTATATTTTCGTGAAGGTCGCAGGTTCATTTGAACACGCGGCTTGAATGCCTCGATATGCTTTAGACGACATGCAAGTAAATGCATTACTTTGAACGTCTATTCTCGCTTTAAAAATTGCAAAAATAAATATGAGCTGAATTAGATACGAAACACCTGGTATTGCACCCAATAATATGTAAAATAAAATGTTACAGACATTATTAAGATCGATAATACATTTTTAATTTTAAAGAGACGATGAATACATTTGCTAGCTTTATTATTATTTTTATTTATATATGCATGCTTATAATTATTATAAAAATTACTAACTTTCATTTATTCTTAACTAACTCCCTTCTTTGGCTCTATTTATTTTCTCTATCTACTATTTCTTTACATATTATATTTTATTTGAAACATATGGTTAACAAC